CTCTCTCTCTCTCTCTCTCTCTCTCTCTCTCTCTCTCTCTCTCTCTCTCTCTCTCTCTCTCTCTGTCTGTCTGTCTGTCTGTCTGTCTGTCTGTCTCTCTCTCTCTCTGTCTGTCTGTCTCTCCCCCCCCTTCTCTCTTTCTCTCTCTCTCTCTCTCTATCTCTCTCTTTCTCTCTCTCTCTGTATGTCTGTCTCTCGCGCTCTCTCTTTCTCTCGCGGTCTGTCTGTCTCTCGCTCGCTCTCTCGCTCTCTCTCTCTCTCTCTCTCTCTCTGTCTGTCTGTCTCTCTCTCTCTCTCTCTCTCTCTCTCTCTGTCTGTCTGTCTGTCTGTCTGTCTGTCTGTCTGTATGTTTGTCTTTCTCTCTTTGTCTGTCTGTCTGTCTGTATGTTTGTCTCTCTCTCTCGCGCGCGCGATATTGCAGTACGCAATTTCAAGATAAGAGATGTTTCGGGCGAGCTGGATTTTCTTTAAATGCTCGAGATTGCCGAATACCATTACTGTATGAATAACGAATTAAATAACTTAATTCTACATTATTCACGCGACCTCATTTAAATCCCATCACCTATATAGTCGAAGCCTACGGCCATCATGTCGACTTAGACCTACTTTTGTTTTTAATCCATAAGCTCTGTACTCTTACATATTTTAAACTTGTCGTTATAAAGTCAACGCGGTAGCTATGAGCAGCTTTCCACAAGCCGCAAGCTTACCGTATTTATCATAAGTCGCATGTGATTTCGTGCGTTCTAATAAGTCGAGAGTGAAAAAAAACCACCACCAACAACAGCAACAACAACAATCCGCACTAGCTCACGCCCGCTGCCAATGTTTTTTCTCTCCGCCGCATTTCACTTTTGTCCCCACCCCTACATTTCTGTTTTTTTTCCTTTCTTGCAGGCAAGATGGTTCCGTTCCTCGAGAACACGGTCGCCGCCGGATCCGTTCTCACGATCCTCGCCATCAGCTTCGAGCGCTACTACGCCATCTGCCGGCCGCTTCAGGCGCAGTACACGTGCACGAAGATGCGAACGCTGAAGATCATACTCGTGCAATGGCTGCTGGCGGCTGTCGCCTGCCTGCCGTACGTCGCGATGACCGACTACGGCGACGCGCCGTACGTCGACGGCTCGACGGTGAAGACATGCGGTACAAACATCGACGAATCGTGGGAGAAGGGTTACTTCATCTGGCTGTGGTTTCTCTTCTTCGCGCTGCCTCTCATCGTCCTGCTGGCGCTCTACACACTCATCAGCCGCACACTGATGTGCGACGACGTGATCATCTGCAACAAGAACGATCCGAAGTACGGCGATAACCAGCGCGCGAGAAAGCAGGTCGTCATGATGCTGTTCGCAGTCGTCGTGTTGTTCTTCGTCTGCCTGCTGCCGTTCCGCGTCTTCAGTCTCTGGACGGTGTTCAGCGACACGCAGCAGGTGTACGCGCTCGGCCTGGAGACGTTCATGAACATCATCTACTTCGTTCGCGTCATGTTCTATCTGAACAGCGCCGTCAATCCGATTATCTACAACGTGATGTCGACCAAGTTTCGCAAGGCGTTTCTGCGCGCTCTCGGCTGCCGACGCGTCGACATGCAGCGCAGTTATACGAATCACACGAGCATGTCGCACTACAGTCAGGCGACGAGTCACTACGCGAGCGGTCGCACGAGCTGCGCCTACACGCACTACAACTATCATCGCGGAAACAACGAGACGAGCGTCTTCTAAACCCCCTCCCCCAGGCGCGTGACACGCCCCATCCGCCCGCCCTCTCCCCCGGCGCGTGAATATACCGCCCCCTCCCCCTCCCCGCGGCGCGTAGCACACACCGCGTCTCTCCCTCCCCCGGCGCGTGAGCACCCTCCGCGCGCGTGAACACACCCCATCCGCCCTCCCTCGGCGCGTAAACACATCCCCCACCCGCCCGTCCCTCCCTCGATTGCAATGCGGATGATGTAGGAATGGTTGTTAGTGAACAACGGATGGGCTCGGCGGCGGTGCTATGCAGATAAACAGAGGTTATCGTTACCGTCATCATCATCGTTGTCGTCGTCGTTATCATCAGCAGTAGTAGCAGCACTATCATCATTATTATTATACGCAGCAGCAACAGCAGCAACAACAACAGTAGCAATAACAGCAGCAGCAACAACACCAATAGCAACAACAGCAGCAGCAGCAACAACAACAACCATAGTAGCAACGACGACGGCAACAATAATCAACAGCAGCAGAAGGAACAACAACATCATCATCAACAACAACAACAACATCATCATCATCTTCATCATCATCATCATCAACAACAACAACAGCAACAACAACAACAACATCAGTGACGATGACGACGACGATAACAACAACCGCAGCAGCAGCAACGGCATAGTCATCATCACTGCCATTATATAGTTGTGACGATTATCACTATTACCATCAGCCACTTCATTAAGATCAGTCTTATCATACTCATCATCTTTATCATGTCGAATCAGTTAAGCTATGGTTTCGATATCTCGCAGACTCCGCTCCAAACCGTAACGCCGTTATGAAGGCTTAATTAAAATAAGCAGACTGACTTGTCGGGGTTTCTTTCTAATAACCGTTGCTTTCGTTCAGAAAAAAAAAGTTTATCGCACGAACGCATAAAAGCTTTTGCAGCTCGGCATAATTACCTAGTCTTGAAGAATACAAAAAAACGCGATTGACTGAGAACTCTTTATATATTCTTTTACTTAGTGTTTCTTTTTACTAGATGTGTCTGCTTTTTGCTGAACATCTCATGGGAGGTCATTCACCACATCTCACGCATCTATTCGCCTTGTGCGCATGGTAGAACGCACCGTTTAGCGGTAAGATATTATATGACGCAGAATGACTTGCAAAATCAGATCCAACGACCTATGTGTGTGTGTGTGTGTGTGTGTGTGTGTGTGTGTGTGTGTGTGTGTGTGTGTGTGTGTGTGTTTTTTATTGGCGGGCGGCCTCGGCGATACAGCTGCATGTGATGAATTCTGCCTAGATGTTTGCGAATTTTAACGTGCGAAGTGCAATAGCTTTAAATGTAAAAGCCTCGGTTAATGTGAATCGATATTTTGCATTAGACATTCAGCCAAGCCGACAGCCAGATTTGTTAACTTACTGATTGCCCATCCCACACACACACGCTCGAGCCCGTCCAAAGTCAAAGTCCCGTCCTGTGTCACCCATGCCCGCCGGCTCACACGCCCATAAGCACACATAGACAGGCGCATGCACGAACGCAAAACCTAAATACATATACACAAGCAAATACGCATGCCCGAACGCATACCTCTCACACACAACACACACACACACACACACACCCACACACACATCACACACACACACCACACACACACAACACACACACCACACACACACACACACACACACACACACACACACATACACACACACACCAACACACAGCACACACACACACACACACACACACACACACACACACACGAACACGCACGCACGCACGCACGCACGCACGCACAATAGCCGGATATATCTGGAACGACATCGTCTCCGCATGAGCGTCGCATAGGAACATTCGTATTGCCGATCTGTCTGACCACACACCTCGCTATAGCGCAATAGAGACATTTGACATTGACGATGGGGGCGTGCTCGTGATCTATATAATGTATCCTCCACAACGAACGTGCATGTACATTACACGCATGCGAATTCTTTCTCCCATAAATTATGTGTGATTGGACATAATATAGGATCGAGCTCTAGCCGCATGCCCGCGCGCGAATTTTTTTGCTTTGCTTTAACTCAATAAGCCTTTAAAACAAGGGAACAAACGCCATTTGGAAATATGTGTTATGGTTTATGATCGGTAGATAAGTAAGTTTTCTGATGTATTTTCCATGAAAAACACACATTTTACTCATTAATATAAAATATAATATCACTATAATTACAATTCTCTGTGTAAATGTGTTACTTTCATCGTTAACGTTAATTTATGAGAAGGTCTGGGCCATATGGTCTTGGCTCTCGTAACACTTACTACATACGTACGTATACGTACTCGTACTATAGCAGTACGAGTACTCGTACTATACTACTCGTCGCAGGAGTAAGGAGCGAAGAGCTATAGTACTAGAGCTATACGTACTCGTACTCGTTGACGCTAGACTGAGAAAAAAGTTTTCTGGTGTATTTTTTTGAAAAACTTAAAACACACATTTTACTCATTAATTAAGATAAAATATAATATCACTATAATTGCAATTCTTTGTGTACATGTATTTTCAAATGTAAACAAGTACTAACACATACGTGTCGTTTAATAACAAAGGTTTGTTTACTTTTTGCTTAGTCTAGCGTCAACGAGTAGCTCTAGTACTATAGCTCTTCGCCCCTTCCTCCTGCCTGCGACGGAGCGAAGGGCTACTCTATAGTACGAGTACGTATACGTACGTATGTAGTATTACGAGAGCCCAGACCCTCTCATAACTTAAGATTATGATGAAAATAACACATTTACACAAAGAATTGTAATTATAGTGATATTATATTTTACATTTAACGAGCAGCGGAAATACGGATCGACTTGAAATTTTAGATGAATGATTTAGAGCATTTTCCTTATACGGGTACCGAATTTCAAATGTCCCATCACTCCAGAAGCTGAAAGATCACTCTCTGAAATGAGCCCCCAAAAACACAGAAATCAATGGAAATTAATGTTCGCTTCATGCGGTTAAGCGCAGTGTTAGAACGAGGGTTAGGGTGAATTGTAACCAACAAATCTAAGATATTTTGATACTGTTAGTGTTATAAGTGCCACAAAAGAGTAAAACGAGGATAATTATTTATTTTCTTGTACCAAATGAGTGTAAAATGAGTGTATTTTAATGTCGATATGTACACTATGTATACGGATATGTACATGTTTACATAAAAAACATGTTTAAATGTCATTCGAACATGCATGCATGTGTCTAAAAACCTGCTAGAGTACTTGCATAACTGATTTTCATTAACTTAAAACTCAATTATTCGATTTCTTCGGGAGAACAGCTATCCTTACCAGGCGGCATTAAGGTGTTGAACAACAGTACTACGCACGCTGTTACTGCGCTTACAAAACATACACTTTATTCATGTTAAATAACTACAGATTCGTGCTCTATGCTCCGCTCGAAACTTTTGCCAGCTCTATGATGCGAATTTCTACAGAGTAGGCGGATCCCGTTTCATACACAAAAATAGCCGACCGGCGACCATGGCTACGCTACTAGCTGGAATGGCACAATTACACAACACGAATAATTTTACTTCTAATGCTTTCTAGACGTCCACGAGGCATCTACCTTGCTTGCATAATGCAAATTATTGCACTCTAGTGCCGAATTTCGGCGAAAAAAAATTCCAAAAAAGACCTTTTCTAGAGACGAAATAGTGCAAATTGCGGATGCTTACTGTTGTACACCTCCTGAGTAAAATGTGTAAAATGAGTAAAAATGAGTAAAAATGAGTAAAAATGAGTAAAAATGAGTAAAAATGAGTGTAAAATGAGTAAAATGTGTGTTTTTTTTATAGAAAATACATCAGAAAACGTACTTATCTACCGATCATAAACCAAAAGAAATATTTGCAAATGGCGTTTGTTCTCAGATTGTTTTGAAGGTTTGTTGAGTCAAAGCAAATCAAAGCAGCCAATCAGAGGAGCCCAATGAATATAACGTGTAGGAAAAAAAAATTCGCTGCCCGCGCTGCCAGACCGTATGTGAGCGTGCAGCGCTGGCGGGCTGGCCCTTCCCTCCCACGGGTCTAGCATATATACAGACGTGCAATAATCGTCAATTTTTAATTAGTGTCAGACGTATGAGTAAATTACGGGACGCGATGAAAATAAACGTCCGTTTACGATTTTATAGCCGCATTTCACGCGCGCCCCGTATCGCTCGCGCGAAAATTCGCACTCCCTCGATGGGGAGGGGGAGGGACGCGAGCCGAATTAAGGCGGCGTTAGCTGCGATAGAGACAGACAGACAGACGACAATGCACACGCTGCGAGGGTGCTTAGGACAGATTGACGCGAGAAAATAATAGCGCAGGTTTGCGCGTTGCTGGTGGGTGGTTGGAGAGGACGGTGCGGAGATGAGGTGTGATGCGCTGATGAGGGAAGGAGGGGAGGGGTAAACACTGAACGGTTTTGATGTGAGGATTAGAGAGAGAGGGAGGGGGAATGATGAGAAATCACTGGTGGCAGGTTGCGCTAAATTGGCGTCTCTGCGTGCATGACACGCGCTCGTCATCGTAAATGATCGAGATGTCGAGAGTAATGATAAACGATCTAACGGTTGCTATGCTGTGCTCGGCAGTTAGACGGTGGTGGCGGATGGATGCGTGATCAAAAGAGAATGGATGCGTGGCGCTAAGCAAACTGCAGGCATTAACCTGAGGCGCTAGGCAAGCTGCAGGCATTAAATTGAGGCGCTAGGCAAGCTGCAGGCATTAAACTGTGCGCCAGGCAAGCTGCAGGTGTTAAACTGTGCGCTAGGCAAGCTGCAGGCATTAAACTGAGGTGCTAGGCAAGCTGCAGGCATTAAACTGAGGCGCTAGGCAAGCTGCAGGCATTAAACTGAGACGCTAGGCAATCTGCAGGCATTAAATTGTGCGCTAGGTAAGCTACAGGCATTAAACGGAGACGCTAGGCAAGCTGCAGGCATTAAACTGTGCGCTAGGCAAGCTGCAGGCATTAAACTGTGCGCTATAGGCAAGCTGCAGGCATTAAACTGTGCGCTGGGCAAGCTACAGGCATTAAACTGTGCGCTAGGCAAGCTGCAGGCATTAAACTGAGGCGCTAGGCAAGCTGCAGGCATTAAACTGTGCGCTGGGCAAGCTACAGGCATTAAACTGTGCGCTGGGCAAGCTACAGGCATTAAACTGTGCGCTATAGGCAAGCTGCAGGCATTAAACTGTGCGCTATAGGCAAGCTGCAGACATTAAACTGTGCGCTGGGCAAGCTACATGCATTAAACTGTGCGCTATAGGCAAGCTGCAGGCATTAAACTGTGCGCTGGGCAAGCTACAGGCATTAAACTGAGGCGCTAGGCAAGCTGCAGGCATTAAACTGTGCGCTATAGGCAAGCTGCAGGCATTAAACTGTGCGCTGGGCAAGCTACAGGCATTAAACGGAGATGCTAGGCAAGCTGCAGGCATTAAACTATGAGTTACTGAATGCGCGGAGAGAACACACAGCAGCAGCGGCGGCAGTTAGATAGATGCTTGCGTGATAGAGATGTTTGCGAGTGAAGCCCTGACGAGCGATTCTTAATGTAAGTACATTACGCGAAATTGCGCGAAGAATTGCAGACGCTGCTAGAGCGCCCGGCTTCCGTCTGCTAGCCGACTGCCTCTCGTTTGCGTTCACCGATCAATCATTATCAGCATTTGAACGCGCAGCGCGCGGGCGTTTTACGATGAAATTTACGTTTTTAAGTTAGACTGCCCGAGCACGTCCCGCCCAGCACGGTCAGAACAGTGACGCGAGCAGCGCTGCATCCATTCTAGGTACTCATGTGCTGCTGCAGAGCAACGCGGCAGAACAATATTTTTTTTCGGTACGCTCGTAAGAAAATCGTCTGCTGCGTTTGGGCCGCGGCTTAACTCAAGCACTTGTATTAAAAACCGCTCGCGTGCGGTAGGCTTTAGATATGGCTGTCGGTTATCGGGGCGAGTGTAGATTATAGAGGTAAGAGTGCGTTATGGGGCGACGGGGAGTTAGATATGAGAGCGAGGTAAAGGTTTCCGTGAGTTGTAAGTTATGCGTGGGCGTGCGCGAGGTATAGAGAGGTGAGTGTGAGTTTGAGGTGAGCGTGAGTTATAGGTTTCTGTGAGTTGTAATTGATTCGTGAGTGTGAGCTAGAGTTTCTGTGAGTTGTAATTGATTCGTGAGTGTGAGCTAGAGGTTTCTGTGAGTTGTAAATGATCAGTGATGGTGAGTTAAAGGTACATGTGAGTTAGCGGTGAGTGTGAGTTTGAGAGGAGCGTGAGTTTGAGATGAATGTGAGTTAGAGGTAAGCGTGAGTTAGGGGCGCGTTTACGTCTAAGATAAGCGCCAGCAACGTATAGCCAACAGATTTCCTTTCCTGCTACTTTCCTTCCCGTGAGATCGAACATCATATTTAATTATTTATTCTTGTATATACTTGGTCTATGGTACACATGTAATCGGGAACGAGTGTGATCGAAGAAAGGTTGATGCTCCATTATCGGACGCGTTAATTCTTCCTATCCTGTCACAACGACGCGTGATGCCCCGTAACTGCAACGCGGACTGTTACGCAACGAAGCGCGACCGTGCAAGGAGTTAATATACGCTATAATTACTCCTTCCTAACGGATCTTTGTTAATGCTTAAGCCGAGCATTGATTTCGCGCTGCCCGGCCTTAGAAAGCGTACGGATGAATTTCAAATATTAAGCGCAGACGAAGATGTAAAAAAAGTGCGCGGTTAATTTCCTCGCACCAGTGGTAACGCACGCGTATACGTTAAATTCACTAGCTAGGGGCCTTAGGGTCAAAATAGGTCAACATATTTACATGGCGGACAACGTGGAAGGTAGCAGCGCAGGGTGGCAGTTGGTGGCATGCTCTATTGAAGCGCAACTCTAGTTAGTTAAACGTATATTAGCATGTTTTATCGGTTTTACAGAGGCGCGTGTAACTTGCGTAGGATTATGTCTACAGGTGATGATCTTGAACTAGCTTGGTTTTTTCTCTCATACGCACACGAACGTAAAATTGTGTGAAAATAGTCGATATATGACGCTATTATACGAGTTTGGCGTGGCTTTGCTTACGTATAAGGAATAAATCGAATGAAACAATTTCGACCGTTCTGTCTTCATTATGTGGTACTTTTCTTGGCGCCTTTGCTCACAGGTTATCGGCTCAGTGTCATATTTTCAAATGTCGGCTCTAAACGATTCCTTGAGAGCCGCTATTAACTAAGTTGACGTGTTCCATGTACGTGTTTAGACGTGTGACACGTCTCAGTGGGTTCGCGTTAGGAAGCTACAAGGAATGCTTCTATTTTGGACCGTTCGTAAAATTCCATTTTGTTGATTGCGAAACGAAAAAGAGTGGAAAGCACCCCATCTCTCCTTCTCCCCCTCTCCCCCTCTCCCCCCACAACTCATCCAAACCCACAACTTTCGTTGACTACACGACAAATGCGATTTCCCCCTATCACCGACGATTGCATCGCTAGACGGAACATTGCTGGCGAAATTTTAACCATTACGATGCATTCAAAGACAAAATGGACGCACGTAATCGGTAACGATTATGACCGAGATAAGCGAAAAGGACTCCACGTATTCTAGCTTTCCCTATCGCTCCGCACTGATCTATATTTAACTTCTAATCGTTCCGCGAGAACCAATTTTTTTACGCATTTGTTGACCTTTGTCGAATAATTTGCCATTACGGAGTAGAGATAGTTGACATTTAGGTCAGAACCAGCATTAAGTAAATGCCTCGCGTGGATTGTTTGATGGTGAACTCCGCGTGTAAAATAACGCTGTGTGTGCACGTCCCTTGAAACCGATAAATCATTAAAACAAACGCGACCATAACGATTATGGTTTAATAACGTGTATCAGTCGATATTTAATTAAAGACAGAGAGAGTAAATATAAAATTTCACCGTTGAAAATAGTCGTGCATATATGCATCGTGTGCGATTCCGCAGAGGCAATATTATTTGGCAAATAGTCGTTGGCCTGTACCTCCTACGCCACCATCGCCTGTTTCTGCTGCCGCGCAGTACGCTCAGCGCTGAATAGACGTTCGACTGTCATCAACAAGCAACGAGATCTCGCAAGAACGTGAGCTCTCTTTGATCCTCAGTCGTCGGCTATTTATATTATCTACCCTTGACTAGGGGCTCTCATCGGTTTGCTCCTTCGTTCCTGCGAGACGACCTGTGCGTCTAGTTTTTATCATCAGTTACTGCTGATGTGATGGAATGATCGAGCGATATCATCTACTATCCCCAGCAGGCCTAACCTAACTTTTCTCTCGACGACACGTACATTTCAATTTTGTTTTAAAGAGCCTAACGTACCCAACACACTTCTATAGTGATTGGCATCGTATATAATTATATATATATATATATATATATACATTAGTGAATGAAAATAACATTCTCACACTCTTGTTCGTGTAGCTTCCCTTGCCAGCCGTTCTTGCACACGTACCCATTTAATTCGTACAGGCGATGAACCTGCAATAACGCTCCCTCCCTCCCTGGTCCCGCGACGTCACTTAATACCCCCACCACCACCACCACAGAACTCCCAAGCGTCACGTTATATATGTCAGAACGAAGTGGTTTTCCTGTATATCATGTGAAAGCTGATCGTTGGCAATCCATTAATATGTATATATATATATATATATATATATATATATATATATATACTACTACCTATCTACCCGATGAACACATCTACAACTTACGTATGATTACTACATCACGTTGCGTCGGGATAAGAATACTACGGCCAGCCCTCCCGAGGCAGCAGTATATCCATGTGCGCTAATTTTATGATCTGTAACTCTATTACCTCGAACTGCTGCGAGATAAAAGGAGCTGCGTTGGCTGTTGCTATAAAGCGTTCGCAGCATCACGGACACACGCACACCTACATGATATGGCTCTAAATTAACGAGTCGTGGAGTGCCTCCGAATATGTGAGAAATAACATTCGATTTACAACGTGGCTAGGTGGGGATTTCGCACGAGCGATAATGAAGTGATACGGAATATGCGCTAGACGTCATGCCTGGCGGCGGGCACGTTTTTTAAGCTGTTTGTTGATTGTTGTTGTTTCTTTCGTTTTTGCCGTAGCATTGACTCATCAGAAGAGGCAAAGTTCTTTATTAGTTTTGACATAGGGACTTGAACATAGGGGGCGAAAGAAACATGTTGCTGAACTGTTTTCATTTATTATCTTAATGCGTCGTTCGACGATGTAGGCCTGCACAGACACAATGCGCGGCACCGCACCGCACGCACGCACGCACGCGCACATATAACACGCAGGCACGCGGTGGCGAATGAAACGCACGCCACACGCCCGGACACGTACATATAAACACGCAAGCAGTTCGGCGCACCGCGACCTGGCACACACGCACGTACACGCCCTATATAACACGCAAGGCACGCGCGCACGCACGCAACACACGCACGTACACGCACAGTATTAAACACCCGGCACGCACGCACCGCGCGGATGTCGCCCCGCACACGCACATCCCGTACGTACCGCACATATAAACACGCAGGCACGCACGCACGCCCACGTCACACGCAACATATAAACACGCAGGCACGCACGCACGTACACGCACATATAAACACGCAGGCACGCACGCACGCACCGCGACACCGCATCACACAGAGCCGCGAAAGGAAGAATGCAAAGAAGGCCAGAATATATACGGGTTACACTTCTCTAGACCACACCGCGACGTCGCAGCAATTCACATCAATATTCCACCGACATACCGTCGCGTGTTCCCGTACCCGCACTGAGTCTGTCAACGTGCATGTACTCTCTCTCTACACTGCGTCGTCATACACACGAGTATGATCGCATATCCTCGTGCATGTGGAGTAGAGAGGAAATTGAACAATATTGTTGCATCCTAGCAACAACCTCCCGGCGACTGCGCTCGCCATGAATGTCATCTGATGAAACTGGGCGAGTTCCAAGAAGCTCGTTTTCCAGGTAAAGCACACAGACACACAGACGTGCGCGCGCGCGCGCACACGCACACACACACACACACACATGCACACACACACACACACAACACACGCCGTACCACACACAATACACACACACCAACACACACACACACACACCATTTTACACAAAAAACACACACACCACACACACACACACCATTACACACAATCACACACACACACACACAGACACACAACACACTACACACATTACACTCTCTCTCTCTCTCTCACCACACACACATACCACTATTCTCTCTCTCTCTTCTCTCTCCTTTCTCTCACACACACACACACACACACACACACACCGATCGACGCTAGAAATAGACTTACGTTAGTCTTTGAAAAAACACAAACGAAAATCAGTTAGTAGTCGAAATTGAGCAGCACGGCGGCGAGCGGCATCTGCATTGATAATGACAAGCAATTCGAGAGCACGCGCCTCATGTAACGGACTTAATGCTAACGCGTCACCGTACACCTGCTTAACAGTCGTTTGATAAGCCGCAGCGAGTCCCGCTTTCATTGAACAGTCTCTTCCGGACAGCTAATAAATAAATAAATAAACAAATAACATATGAGTGTATATATAATATGTGGTGTTTTCTAGTGTGTGTGTGTGTGTGTGTGTGTGTGTGTAGTTGTGTGGTGTGGTGTGTGTGTGGTGTTGTGTGTATCACTCTACCACACCGATCAACACACTACAAGGTGAGGACCCGCGCGCGCAAGTGAGTACATACGACGCACGACGACACTATCACACACCACACACACACACGGCAACGACGCGAAGTCCTTGGAACATACGACGACACATATTATATATATATATATATATATATTATATATATATATATATATATAATATGCACACCGGCGCTAACCTCATAGAGAGC